CAAACTTGTGTCTGTAGTTATCTGTCTGGAGTCATATTAATAATACAGATAGTGTCGTTTTACTGTTAATTTGTATAGATGAAAAGGACATCCACTTACTTCAGTGTAATATTCGTAGGAATTAGTCTAATTTGAAGTATCAATGATATTGCGTCAGTATTCTTTATCTTTAATGTAAGAATAAAATTTTGTGTATAAAAATCACCTACTTTTTTAATATGATAATGTCATATACATATTTGAATATAATGCTGGACAGTATTCAACTGACGTTTTAATTGTTCTCTAAAAATGCTTTAAATATCCCTTATTATAAAGGAAGATCTTTTTAAATGTAACATTATAGCAAAAGGCCATATGTCTCTTGATTTCCATTTGTCTTCTCATTTTTTTACGAAATATATTTTGTTATTATGTAGGTCTACCGAGACTGAAAACAGATAGGGTATTTTCAAATGTTTATTTATTAATTTGAACACATAAATATCGGTACCAAAGGGCACCGAATATATATGCGCCACAAAAGTCATTTGATTTGTGTGTAGGCTGTGATACTGCCCGAGTGCCCAGACCGAAGCAAGTAGTTTTCTCAAGAGGCCACATCTAGAGCCCTCGATCTGAAAGTCTGATCCACAAGGTAGAAAAGCAGCGTCAGGAGATGCAGTCTCATGGTATCCGGTGACCAATAATTGGTTCATACGCCACTTGTACCCTCAGGATACTGGAGCCAATGTGCATCATTGTTTTGGAATCAAGGTTTCCCAACTCCCCTAAGTGAATCCTCTGTGTCCACTAACCCGTTTAAAGCACTGAACATTCTCTTTTCGTCCTCTCAATTTCGTAAACAACATCCCCGCCTTGAGAAGGCAGTGAGTATGACTTTCCTGACAGTGACTGTATACGCGTGGTCATGTGAGAGCATATTGAGAGGGAGAGTGAACCCTCCTCACCCTCGGTCGTATCAGGGCGTTTGGTAGCATTCTCTCATATTAGCTTTCTCAAAAACATCTAGTTACAATTTTTTAACATAGGCTTATCAGCACATAACATAAATCCACTGCTTTATACTGATTATCTTTAACTATCTAACATTTGTATAAAAAATTGTTAGATAGATAATGTGAAGATTCGTTCAATACAACCATAGTATTAGTTTCAGATTATCATAAACTGGACGATCAAAATTCAATCCCACAGTGATGGTCATCTATTTCGTCCAATGTTATAATTTATCAAAATGTACAATAATTCTGCTACACATAAATTATATCAATTTGCATAGGTTATTTGTAAACCATAATATCTGAAAACCAGTGGGCTGTAATCCAAAAGTTGACATAAATAATCTTATCTGTTCATTTTCTTATATATTTAAATTATCTCCCTTGATACAATACAGTTTGACTAAAGACTACTCACAGATTTCCATCACATCTATAATGATTTTTAGGAAACAATGTAATAAACCATCAGTCTTTTTAACTTTTCTTTTATTACGAGTTATTAGAGAGGTTACGTGTTTGTATCCCTGTTAATTTGTGGATGTAATATGTTTCTGTTCAAAAATTAAAAAAAAACTTCGATTGAAACACTATGATATCCAATAAATAAGGAAAGACGATTAGCGAATTCATCTGCGCTATTGCGATTAACTTTCAAATATTTTCCTTAAATCTTGAAATTACTGATTTTATCTGTTTACAGGACTTTAATCTGAAAGATTTAATCTTTCATACGACTAGTCCAAGACTTCGTTTATTGATAAAATGTCTTGGTTTGATAATCGTGAAGCGTATTTAATTAAATTCATATTAAAATGGTAAGTTGATGAAGGATATATATATTTAAGAATATTTGGTTCGTGTCCACATCACTCCAGTTAATAAAGGTTCAAAACATAGTTATTTGAAATATTCCTTTTTATTTAATACCATTAGAGTAATAGAGGCAATGTATAACTATAAGTCTAGATATATTATAGTGATATTTTAAAAAAAGTGGATTTCTACTCTTTCAATAACAATACTTCATAGCAGAATAAAGCCAAATATTTTATGATGGACTTTTTTATATCAATAATTTGGAAGCTTCATTTAGACGATGGATGGATTAGAATAATGAAATTTGAGCAAGATAATTCTATCAACATATTGATCCCTTAGACTATCACATCTCTTTATATAAACTAATGAAACAAATTGTGTAAATGAGATGGTTAAGATATGCAATAATAACAGTAAGTTTAGAAAAATGCAAACTATCCACATTTTCTAAAACTGTGGTTAAAAACTAGCTAATGGTAAAGACATGATTTTTCTGTTATTACATTGAGAAGTTACGTCTCGTATCCAATTTGTTTCCTAAAGCTATAAACGACTATGGATTTGTCAGTACTTATTTGTATGATCATTTTTTTGCTTTCTTAGTTAATTGAATAACGTTTCATTTAAAATGTTCGGAGAGGATAATATACAATCTTTTATATTGGTTAAAAATGTAAGCAAGCAAAAATCGTGAACAATTCCTTTGAACGGATTTCAAAAGTGAACAGTCTTAAGTTCGTGTTTTATGTAACTAAAGTTATCGAAGCTTCAGAAATTTTTGATCTTATATTCTTAATTTTTCATTTCAGATATCGTTGGTTACCAGTTATGTGAATTGTAGCTAGCAGCCAACTCCTCTTAAATGTTACCATATATTATATTACTTTCCATATTTCGTACCTAATAATAGTTAATAGACCATGAAGCTCCGTGGTTGCATAAACCTAGCCGAGTACTATTTAAATCAAAGGAAAATCACTACCAGTTTACAATGACTTTTAAACTGTATATTGTATTTTATGCATCTGACTGAATAGAAGATTTAGTAGCATTAACCCGAAAGTTATTAATAAACATATTAATACTCTAATTCAGTCAAATGGAATGTATGATCTGGTACGTGTATACATCGGATGAAGTTCCCAAACTCTATTACCACAGCAAGATGAAACAGTAAAGGAGAACTTCAGAGTCGTGGAGTTAGTAACAATACTAGAAATTATAAAAATGATTAGGTATGAAAGATATGACTTAAGAAAATATACATTGGTTGGGAGGATTATGAGTAATTTATTAACTTAAGAACTGAGAGAAGACAGAGTAAGTATGAATAGCTTATGTATAAAACATTCTGAATAATCTATGAACTTAGAATCTAAGTAAATATAGAGAGTAAATGCACCTGTGTCATTCCAAACGATTTTGAGCCATGTCATTCAAAGTTTCCAATTATTGGTTATGATAATCATGAGGACTCCAACCCGGTAGTCCATACCTGTTAGAACAAAAATCTATTTCTTTTTAAACACCATACTTTTAAGACTAAGCCCATAGAAATGTTACAGTTGCAAAATTTTCACCGACTTTTCAGATTTTCCAAACTTACTCTCATTGATCTGTTAAAATTTGAACATACTAACTATTTTATTATCCATATTTTGTCTCCAGTTACTTTTTCTTCGAGCTTGAAACAAATATTTCATTCATTTCTATAGAAATATATGGTTTATGTTTGATTATCTTTTTAGGCTGGGTTTTATGTACTTTATTGTATTCGATAATGACTATATACAAGAATTCCTCTTGAATCACTGCACTAACTATGCACTAAATACTATAAATATTTCAATGAAAAGATCACTCTGAGTTTATTTTATCTGAAGAATTCGCATATGATAAATTTGATAAATAGTCACATTCATTCACAAAAGATTTACACATCTTAGTAAAACTAAATGATGAAAATTTCAAAAACCATCATGGAACCGTTTTTCCTTTATGTCTACCTTTTTAAAAAAGGCAAGAGTTAAATACGTTAAAAATGGTTGAGATCATGAGTCAATTGAAGCCAAACAACCATGGAAAACCTGGAAACATTGCACGGCCGTTTCGTTTTATTGTGGAACTCTTCAGCAATGCGCATCCATGACCTCGCCTCGCGAGATTCGAACTCAGGACATGTTACTCTCGCGCGCAAGCGCTTAAACACTAGACCACTGGATCGACATTCAACGGCGTTAATGTCTAACTTCAACCAGTCTCGCAGTAGGACGAAACAGCCGTCCAGTGCTCCAGGTTTTCCATGGTGGTCTGGCTTCAACTAACTAATGATCTGAACCAGTGAAATAACTATAATATCCACAAAACCCTTTTGAGATAAATGTATATTATTCAATGAAATTAAACTTTATAAAATCAAACCCTGTCGTATACTATTTCTAATGAAAATAAATATCATCTTATAATCACTGAGTAGATATATATTTATAAGAAAAGGAAACTTGTTATGGTCTACATGTTATGTAATAAGAATTCACCATTATGCAAACAATGTCACTAGAAGTGTATTACATAAATCCATTCTTGGTAAATGACTTGAATTAAATTGTCACGTAATTAATAATTGTTATAATATAAATTGTACACATTCTTTTTTCATTTGAAGTTATAATGGATTTACTATGGAAAATAAACAAACAACATGTATCTACTTGTCATAATTCATAATTTAGTGTATAATAAAATCACTACTTTTATACTACTTATTAAATCATGAAAACAATTATCTTATTAGATTTATAGACTTATCATCATTTGATTATATACATAAATGTAAAATACAGATACAACACTACTTATTATCAGTATACTTATTTTATATAAGATAATAATAAGCAACTTTTAAATGATTTATATAGTATCATACTATACTTATTTATTTGTTCTGATGATTGTCAATTAGCTTTAAGGTTTAATGTGATTGGTTATAGTTTTTTTTTTGGTTTTTCTAAACAAAACAAATCACATATAAAAGACTCATTAGAATAAATAGAATTATGAAAATTTTCGTAATTTATTTGATCCATTTCATATATTACTAATATTATTGAATTTATGAATGAATTATTATTTATGTTGTGTATTACTTGTATATACTACTGATTATTCATAAAGTACATATAATTACATGGTATATAAACATTAAATGTACAAATTTTTTGAAATCACTTATGAAATGAAATGGATTTTGTTGTGTTTTTTTTATTACATAATTGATCACATCATTAATTGAATTACCCATATATTACATTCGGAAACGTTCAAGATATTTTTAAAATATTGTCAAGGAAGCTCATTATAAAGAAACGGTGAAATTGTGTATCATATGATTAGTTCTCATGTTTACTTACTGGTATGTATTCATCTAATATCTAGAATGTTTGTTTATATTACTAGTGAGATTATTAGATTTCTTTGTGTATATTTAGTTGTGTTGTTTTTGTTATATATAAGTGGTGTGCTATCGTGTTTAAATTTGTTTGTTACATGCTATATTTGATTGGTAGGTGCATATTTATATCGGTGGTTAATATCATGAGTCAGTTGAAGCTAGACAACCATGGAAAGCCTGAAAGCGCTGAACGGCCGTTTCGTCCAAGCATGGGACGCCTCAGCAGTGCTCATCCATGACCTCGCCCCCTGAGAGATTCGAACCCAAGACTTACTGGTTTCGCGCGTGAGCACTTAACCACTAGACCACTGAGCCGACATTCAACGGTGTTAATGTCTTACTTCAACTAATCCACGACATTGAGCGACACATTCACCATTGTCTTCTGTGAGTTACTATCTCACGACAGACCTGGTTAAACTACATTGGCATATTTATATATTTTTATCGGACATTCTGACTGTATGTATATAGTCCTAATTATGACAAGCAAACACAAGCCTAACAGTACAACATTTCAGCAAATATTTTATCGTAGACTTCAAGTCAAATGTATAATATGAGAAAGTCAAAAATATATTTTGATTGACCTGATTGACTTAAATGAAGACTGTTATTCATTTTTACTTACTTTTATAGATGTATCATTTATTAGGCAAAACGATATATTGACGTTATAAAAGAACTACAATTCAGAAACCTGATGTGCCATTATATTCTAGAATATTAGAAAAAAAACATTATAATGATAGTAATATGAGTCTTCACTTTATTCAGTAACATGTGCTTGATTACAACATAGGCATCTCAGGAAAAAACTATGTCAGTTTTCTGCAAAATTCTTCTTTTATAACTACTCAATTTGTTAATGTTCAGGAAGATATATACAAAAACTGTGAACGGTGATTGACTTTAATTTAAACCCATCTGTAAATGTGTACGATCATCTTTCGTCTGATGACATCATTTTACATAAACTAATGTTTATTGTATGAGGAAGAGAAAATCTACGAACTACCGTAACTAAAGTTATAAAGAACACGTTAAATTGTAAAAGTTTATACGTAAACGTGATTAGAGAATGTTTTAGTTAAATAAATAAATAAATCTAAAGCAGAGAAATGTATGACATTAAATGAACAATTGGAAATAAGTCACTGATAAAACATTTTCAAGTAGCTGTGTTTTGAATTTCATATTGGATTGTATGTATTATATGGAAAGTTTTGTATTTAATGCTTGTCATCTTATCAAGTGATAAAGCTATCAAATGCTTGTTATCTGATATTCTAAAGTAATTTATATTTCAGAAATGTTCTTATAGGTGTATAGTTTGTTCTATTAAATAAAACGAAGGTGGATAGTCTAGAAAACCATGCTTAAGTAAATTATTCGTAGTAGAAGATTCCTGAATGTCTACGCAAGACGTTTACATCGATATTAGTTTTTTTTACCTTTAAACTGTCTTGCGCTAGTTTTTAATAAACGATTGATTTAGGTTTAGAGATTACGTTTTAGTCTTTCTGATTATGTTTATTTCATTTTTAATTGTGTGATGGCATTTCTTTGTAAATAGATATTCTATCTAATGATGCAATAACTTTTTTTTATTATAGACTCCTACGTAAGAAACATAACTGATGTTAATTGTATAATTCTAGTAAATGAGAACTTCTGTAAGAAAACTTTCTTCGCTCAAATATCTTTATTTAATAACTCAGTTGGTTTCCTTAAATGAATACGATTTACTTAATGTTATGTTAAAACAGTATAGTGGATTAAACTTTGTCCATTGGAAATATGTATTATTGTATGACTACTTTCTTTTGGGATACGTGCTGACAGAGTTTTTATTCGTCTTATCAAATAAGCATATATTTACTATCACTGCTCATTATCTTAGTCTAGATTTGTTTAATAACTTCTTTTAATTGTTCAGTAGACGGTTTTAAATGACTATCCTAAATCAAATGTTTGATATAACTAATTATTGTTTTCCAGAACAATTTATGGTGAACAAAATAAATGTTTTGACTGTAAAATGGGATAAGGAACTAATTTTGACTTTTATAAATGTAAAGTATTCTGTTAAATATTCTGACTGGAGGATAGTCAGAAACAGCAGGTTTTATTAAAAGATTTTTATAAATAGATTCAACTTATAAGAATCTACAAGGGATATGACTATGTCTTATTTATTTTTATTATTGAAATAAACAGACCTATCCTATTTAAAACTTAATATTAATATGCTTAAGTTCAGATTGAAAATTTAGTTAAATACTTATTCAATAAATTTAAAACACAGAGAACACCAACCCAATCACACTTGATGGCGAAACTCTGGAAGATTTAGGGTCCTGGGAAGCATCATCGATGAACAAGGAGGTTCAGATGTAGACGTAAAGGCGAGGATTGGTAAATCAAGGGGGACATTCCTACGATTGAAGAACATATGCAACTCAAAACAACTTTCAACCAATATCAAAGTGAGAATCTTCAATACGAACATCAAGACAGTTCTACTGTACTGAGCTGATACTTGGAAAACGTCTACAACCATCATCGAGAAGGTACAAGTATTTATAAATAGTTGTCTACGCAAGATACTCAACATTCATTGGTCGGTCACCATCAGCAACAGTCTACTGTGGGAGAGAATAAACCAGCTTTCAGCTGAAGAGGAAATTAGGAAAAGACGATGGAAATGGATAGGACATACATTCGGCAAATCATCAAAGTGCAACACGAGACAAGCCATAACTTGGAATCCTGAAGGGAAGCGTAAAAAAGGAAGGCCAAAGAACACATTACGTCGGGAAATAGAACGAGATATGAAAAGGATGAATAAGAACTGGGAAGAGCTGGAAAGGATTGGTCAGGACAGGGTTGGATGGCGAATGCTGGTGAGCGGCCTATGCTCTTTCACGAGGAGTAACAGCCGTAAGTAAGCAATAAATTTAAAAGAGTCAGAAACTAATTTCATGAGTAGTATCATGAATTATAACAAAGAAATAGAGGAAATCAAACATCTGTTAACCAAACAATAAAACGTACATAATATAATACCATTACCAATTGGGAGAGAAACTGACAATCGATATATCTTCATCATTTAATGATTTGTCCCATATGACTAAATGTCGTTAGATATTAATAACATTTATTACATGTAGCACAATGAGGATTTTTTACAGTTATATACACTTCAAATATATAATTTTCCACAGTTAAGCAAATTTTCGAGTTGAGTCAGTCTATTGAACGATAAGTTGCTTGACAGTATATACATAACGTTTTCTATTCACTTCACTCTGAACAGACTTAGAGCAAGCCAGTTTTCATGAATTTATTTTTATACTAATTTCTAAATCACTGAATGTTCAAGATAGTGTACTAATTCTGCTTTGAAACATAATTAAATTCTGATGTAAGTTACATAATACTAACCAATAAGATAAAAATAAGTTGGTCCATCTTATCCTTTATATAATTCTGATTATAAATTAAACATTAAGCCTTAGTAATGAGGAAAGATATATATATATATATATATATATATATATATATATACTTTAAATGTTTCGCGACAAATTCAAACAAAATATAAGTGACTAGAAATAGTCATTATCTATATGACGTAACAATCAATTTATATTATAGGATCATTAATTTCTTCTTTTTTTGTCATAATGGTGACATTTACATGCGAAATTGTATTTTTAATTTACTTTCAGTTAGAATTTCAAACAATAATTTGAAATAGAAATTGAATAAAATATTCCTTTTTTAAACATCAGTCTATTAAAGAGTATGATTAATTTTTCAACAATAATTAGTTTAAATCCCGTGAGGCGAAGTTGTGGATACGTAATGATGAGAAATCCCAAAATAGGACAAAATGACTTTCCAGTGGTTCCAGGTTTTCCATAATTGTCTAGCTTCAATGAACTCATGATCTCAACTATTAAAAAAATGACTAGTTATTATTAAGAAGTCATTATCGAAATGATTATCAAGTATCACATAGAATAATATTTCTATACTTAGTTTATTCACGTCTTTTCACTTTTTATCTTTCACTTTATGGAAATTAGATAAAAAAATATAATAAATGATGATTAGTTAACATGTTCATTCATATGAATAACTAAAACAACGGATCAGTAACAATGTGTTCTACTTACAATAAGATCTATTGTGCTTACAAAATATTTTTTTAAAAAACAAAAAAACAAACAAACAATAACTGATCTATTTACTTTCATCAAACGAACACATTTTGTTTATTTACTACTTACATATGTATGTTTGTATGAATTACAACTAATCAGATGACTAGTTTATTATCAAATTTAAAAAATCTTATTTTATAAATAGTTGCTTACATTATATACTCGTGAGTTTAGAAATTATATGGAAATGTGTTATTATAACTAAATTTTTAATGCAAACTATATTTGTTGATCAATGTTGTTTTGTTGTGGTAAAATTAGTGCTGATATAATTGATACTACTATTATGTGAATATAAATAATAGTAATATTGATAATAATAGGTAATAAAGTTATGATCATTAAACTAGTTGATCAGCTGATCGATTTGGGTGTTGCTTCTTTCATTTTTTTTTAGTTATTTATTCACAGTTTATTAAATCAGTTAAATAGAAAGAACAGGTTATTAATAAAATAATTATTTATTTCAATTTGTGAGTTTTGAAAAACAAATTTGATCAAATGAAATTATTAGAGAATAAAAAGTAAACTGTATGAAATTTAAATTCATTTGGTATTGTTTGTTTGGATCCTCGCATTGATATTCAAGATTGCTATTGATCAGTCACTTATTGGCATATGTCTGTAATGCCTCGATATAGCCTTAATTCACAAGCATTATATGCAAAGATGGATGCTGGATAGCAATAGAATTCAGGGCGCACGTTTTGTCTTAGTTGAAACTCG